GGAAAGCCTCAAAACATTGTAAGTATTCTCATCGCGTTGTGATTCTTCTACAGGATTGTACTTCATGGTCGTTACAATCCTGGGAGGGGATGGAGATTCCATTCTTCCTCATCACCCCAGCCATAGCTCGCTCTCTCTCTTTCTCTCTCTCTAACTCTCTCTCTCTCTCTCTCTCTCTCTCTCTCTCTCTCTCTCTCTCTCACACACACACACACACACACACACACACACACACACACTCACACACACACACACGTTGTTTGTGGATGCAGATTGTCTGTTCCTCTAATACCCTGACTTCAGCATGTTGTCTGCAGAAGAGGAAAAGGGTCTCTCCTGGCTGCGATTCCACAACAAGAAGGTCTTTGCTCTACTCCTTGTGGCGCTTAAATCCTCTGATCAGCCTCAGAAAAATGGTTCTTCTTCCTTTTCCTCAAATTCCTCCTTCTAAGACTCTGTCTTGGACCCAGGTCCCTGGCTTCAGCATCTGCTCCAGCCCCCTGGCAGAATATCATTTCACCTGGGGAACCCCTCTGGCTGCCCTGCAAGGTCTTAGTGCAAAAGACACTGACTGGTGTTGGAACTTTTACTACCAATTTCAAAGCAAACATGCCAGGAGTTACGAGTACTCACTTGCCCCGGGGTTGTGAGCTTGGGGAAAAGAAATTCTGTATGTTTCTAAAAGGTTGCTGGCCAAGGAGGATGGAATTGGATTGATTCCTAAGGACAACGCTAGAGTTACTTGGATTTCTACAGAGCACTTGTGTACTTTTTATAATCTCCAAAGTATGTAATTATGTTTGACAAAAGTGGTGGCCTGAACTTTGGGAGAGACACAAAGCAAACTCTGAAGACAGCAGGAAACTCTTTGTCTCCAAGCTGCAGCCCTAGGCAATGGTAGTGGAGAGGGGCCCCAGCTCCACTGTCTCCCCTAAACCCTCTCCTCTCCCTCAGCCCTCAGAGCCACAGCCAGGGCACTGAGAGCCTGGAAGTCCATGGCCTGCTCTTTATCACGGGCAGAGAGCTCTCCTCCAGTCAGTGGGGATGTTACTGGCATCCCAATTTCAAATCCTGCTCAACAGCCTCTGCCCAGGGAAGTAGAATTGTGCTCCTTGAGGCACAGCCTGGAACCTAACCATCCAACCATCTGGCAGGACCCAGCTGCCACCTGCTGACCCCTCTCGTGGGTAACTTGGAGCCTCTTCAAGATGTTATGCAAATATTCAAATATTCCTTCAGCCTTTTAGGACAGAGATACTGAGTGTGTAGATGAAGGCAGAAAAGTTATACCAGGGATGGCTGCATCTACTCCTGCCCCCTCTCCCTACCCCCAAGCTGTCTCAGGTAACTCAGCAAAATGCAGATCCTGCAGCAAGCAGAATTCTTCCTTCGGAGACAATAGTTGAGGGACTCCTTGTCATTGGAACCTTCTCCTTGAATGGGCAGTAGGAGGAGCAGGAACTGTAACTCCAACTGTATTGGTCTGTCCTGGGCTGCCGTCGTGAGAAACCAGACTGGATGACTTAAACAACAGGAATTCATTTTCTCACATTTCTGGAAGTCCAAGGTCAAGGTGCTGAGAGGGTTGGTTTCTGGGGAGGGCTCTTTTGTTGGCTTTTAGATTGCCATCTTTTCGCTGTGTTTTCATTGACCTTCCCTCTGTGCCTGGGGGGACAGAGCTCTGTGTCCCTTTCTCTTACAAGGACACCAGTCCTATCCTATTAGGGCCCCGCCCGTAAGATCTCATTTAACCTTATCTACCTCCCTAAAAGCCCTCTTTCCAATGCAATCACATTGGATATCAAGGGCATCAACATATGAATTTTAGAGGAACACAGCTCCATTCATAACACCACAGCAAAGACCTTATCAAAACATCTCTTCTGACTAGTATCATTCACAGGATTCATCTTTCTCCTTCATTATGTTCCTAGCCCTGTTTTTGTACCTCTTACGTTTGGGCACCTCAGCCAGACATCCAACTGGCTCACTCCTTAATCCCACTGTATCGCAATGAACATAACGGAGCATTCAGAGCCAAGCTCGGGGGAGTCAGAGGCCTCAAGCAGCTTTATCTGGACCTTATATTCCGCTCAGTGGTAACTTTCAGCTTGGAGCTATAAAGATTTTCGCAAGACACCCCCGCTGTCCCCCGAGTTCTTAACCCTCCGGGACTACTAAATCTCTTAGCAGCGCATGTCCATATTTCAGTGAGTCTTGGTTTGAATCCCCGCTCCCAGGTGAAAGGTGGTAGGGATTTTTGTAGTGACAGAAAGCTAAGCTTTCTTCACCTCCTCCCAGGCGTTCCTCACTCCAACAGGAGTGAGACCAAGCGCTCTTTATTCTTTACGGTGAAGGGTGGAGCTGATAGAAATACTTTCCGTTGTGCCTTTGTGCCATCACATAAAATGATGTCTTCATGAGGGCTTCATCCTTTCTTCTTACCCATGAGTTGGCAGGATGCAGAAGTGGGTGTTTCTTATTTATTCTAGGAATTTAAAGGAACACTTTGGTGTTCATTTGTTCTGCCTCTTTTTTTTACATCTTGCAATCTTCAGAGTCATCAACTCACGATTAGAAAAATTAAGGGAAAGAAATGAACTTTTCAGCATTTCTGAGTACGACTTATGGCAATGACTCATTTTGACGTGGGGATTTTAGAAACCTTCTGCAACTTTTCTAAGCCCCACAAATAATCAGTTTAAAAAAAATCAAGAACAGAGCCAAAACTTGAGCACAGTGTTAATCCTATTAATGATAATGACTAAAAAAAAAAGAAAAAGAAAAAAAAATGCTTAGAATTGTTTAAAGAGAAGACCCATTTCACCTTCACTGTGAACAACTGAGATCTTTATTGCTTCTTTTAAGTTCTGGACTTAAAACAATGAAGCAGTTTTCATAATTAAAATGATGTGTGCAGGCTCTGTGGACGTTCAGTCAAGTTTGACTCCCCCGCTGATGTTGACACTGACTTGGCCTGGAAGTCCTTGAGATGCCCTTCGCCCTTCATCTGCTGTGGTTATTGATTCTGTTCTGCCTCCTTTCTGTTCAGCCTTCAACGCAGTACTGCAGTGAATACACAGATCACAGGGCCTTGCGGGCTCACAGAGCTGCAGGTGCCTTAGGACGTTATGTAATCAGGCAAACAAAATTATGACATCCAAGGGACGCATCCTCCCCGCATCAGGTGGGGTTGGAAATCCACACCTTGGCTCACCTTGCTTTTTGTAACTGAGTGTAATCATTGTTTTATTTTTGCACAAGGCTCTCAGTGCATAGCCACAGGGATTCCTAATGACTAGAGAACATTCAGGAAACAGTCCTGACCTGACCGCTACAGATTTGCAAAGAGGGGTTATCTTGGTCCTCAAATAGGCAAAAGTGATTGCCTGATGCTTTATCTCCATAACAATGTTCTCTTTTTCCCCCCTCAGGATGTTGAGAAGTAATCGCATCAGCTGTGTGGGGAATGACAGCTTCATAGGGCTGAGTTCTGTGCGGCTGCTTTCCTTATATGATAATCAAATTACTACGATTGCACCAGGGGCCTTTGACACTCTCCATTCCTTATCTACTCTGTGAGTATGAAAAATAGTCTTCATCTGTGTATTACTTGGGCCTCTGTGTTACATTTATTACTTTCATTGATAGCACTTTAACGCACTGTTAGGCATTTCATAAAAATGTGATCAAGGATTAAGTGGTGGTGGTGTTTTGTTTTGTGGTGTGTTTTTTTTTAAGACAAATTTCTTCATGTTAAACTTATTTTAACTTTCTCTAAAAAGATTACCTACTATCTTATATGAAAATGTAGCCAAGATCATAGTATTGTTCAATCAGTTTTTTAAAAAATAATAATGTGCTGTGGCTTCATTTTGAAATTTTAATTTTATTATAACTCGACTGTGCTGCAAGCAAAGGAAATGCTGTAGCTTTCCCTGAGTGTTTCTGCACGGGCATCTCTTCAGTATAAGTATCATCCAAACAGAGTTGATAGGGTCATTTCCACCACCCCATGTTCAAGGGCCATTCACGGTGACAGGGGCTGCATCGGGGTGACCTGACCAGCAAGAAGGGCTGTTCACTAGAGGGCGTTAACTGTGACATTAGGAAAATATTAAAGAAATAGGTTGAGCCTTTCCAGAAGGATATGTTATGTAGGTTAGGTCTAGACACAGAACTTAGAAAGTGTCAAACATAGAGACACACACATACACCCCTCTCCGAACAATGCATTGCAGGCATATTACATATCAGTATCTAAGAAGCAGTGTTTGAAAATATAAATCTTACAAATCAAATCAGATTCCCCTGTAATGGTGACATACTAGTCTAACTCTAAAGGTAGTTAGAAAGAACAAAAAAAGAGGGGGGGGAGCATGTTCAACATAGCTCAAGTCGCTGAAGAAATAATTTGAGGAAAGCATCCCTCCATCAGGAAAGTACTGGATCCCCTTCCCACATAAAGTGCGACATTTTACATGGGTGACTAATTTGTGCATATTAAACATGGCATGTTTATAAATAATGGGATCGTCAATAGGGTTGTGCTGAAGTGGTGAGATGCCAAAAGTGCGGAGATTTGTAGAAGTGAATTCATTTTTATAACTGGCATTTAATCAACTCAGCTGTCAGCTTCGATGGGAAACCTATTCTCTTGAGCAAATAAGAAATGGAAATCTTGAAATGACAAATTAATGAAATAGCTGTTGTCAGGTTAAACTCAATAATATAAGGTAATCAGCCTTCATCTTTATATTAAGTTGCTGCATTATCAGGGCAGGGGAGTCTGACAGCAGCTCAGACCTCAGACAAGTTTAAATGATCTCTAAATGAGCTATCCCTCAGGATCCACTGCTTAAGGCCTAAATTGCTGCTTTCACTTTATTTTTTGCATGAAATTATTTGAAAGAATTCCACATATGAAAGTCTTGTTATTTTGTAAATTTTACACATAAATATTTTAGCAAAAAAAAAATGCATCCCATATATTGTGATGGGGTATGAATCGGGGGCTGGAGGGGAATATGAAACATAAGGAACCATTTCAGCAGAAATCGTGTGGGAAATGGTAGCATGGGGTTTTGAGAAATAAGGAGGTGAAACCCTGACTGAACTCAACTCTGCATTGCTTGCATGTGGCACTTAGAAACCTCTTGGCCAATCCTTTCAACTGTAACTGCTACCTGGCTTGGTTGGGAGAATGGCTCCGGAAGAAAAGAATTGTAACGGGCAACCCTCGCTGTCAGAAACCCTACTTCCTCAAGGAGATCCCCATCCAGGATGTGGCCATTCAAGACTTCACCTGCGATGATGGTAAGAAGGCCGCGCCCAGGCTGTGGTCCCCAGGCGTCCAGTGACTGTGCTGATGCTAAGGGTGCAGCTGCCCAGCGTATCCGTCCAAAGATAGTCCTGGCACATCTTTTTCGTTGCTTTGTTATGTTTCAGCCAGAGGACACTTCCTTTCTCAGAGGGCACCTTCCTATCCAAATCTACTTTGTGCTCTTGAAGGCTGTAGATTTTCCAATTTCCAACTGGCAGTTGGTACTGTTTTTACAGCTTCATTTTAACATTTCTTTATTACCCTAAGCATCTCTTCTAGTAGCTATCATTTCCAAATGAGAAAAGCAATTGACTTCTAAAATAGAAATGCTAGTAAATCCAACAAAAGTAATAATTTTCACTTTTTCATGCACTCTATGTATCATGGCATTTTATTGGAGTGACCCTGTCAGTACGCGAAACAGGTTCTGTAATTATTGCCAGTGAATGCAGAACTGATTTGAATTCATACTTTAAAATGAGGGACCCTGCCCGGCCGGCATGGCTCAGTGGTTGAACATTGACCTATGAACCAGGAGGTCAGGGTTGGATTCCCAGTCAGGGCACATGCCCAGGTTTGCTGGATCCCCAGTGTGGGGCATGCAGGAAGCAGCCGATCAATAATTCTCTCTCATCATTGATGTTTCTATCTCTCTCTCCCTCCCTCTCCCTTCTGCTCAGAAATCAATAAAAATATATTTTTAAAAATGAGGGACCCATACATACCATTTTTGCGAAACATTTGAAATAATTCTGTCCCTTTATGCCTCTTCACGTCTGTCTCCTTAATTCAGTTAACACATAGATTCTAATTAAAAGTGTAATTTATATAAATAACTGCACAAAGACAGTAACTATTATCATTGTATTGATGATACACCCTGGACATTATTTTCTGGAATTCTGCCCTCGGCTGTCTGGAAACGGAGCTGTATGAAAAGTATGGTGTCTGTCAATCCTTACTGCCCTCCACGTCAGTGATCATTGATCGTATGGCCCGAGATGGGTGCTTGTTACGTTAATGTAAAGCCATAAAATCATTTCTAACCTCTTCAAAGCTGCAAATCTGGGTTTTCCTGTATGTCTTTTGGCAATTTAGGAAATGATGACAATAGCTGTTCCCCACTGTCCCGCTGTCCCGCGGAGTGCACCTGCTTGGACACAGTGGTCCGATGTAGCAACAAGGGCTTGAAGGGTTTGCCCAAAGGAATCCCAAGAGATGTCACTGAATTGTAAGTAAAGCTTGTCTGTCTTTCTTTTCTGAATATTGAATATGTCATACTCCAAGGGAAATGGGCTTCACACCGAAGTTTTTACAGTCCTGTTTGCAGATTACATTCTAGGGACCATTAATTAGTATCACATAAAACCTTAAACAAATAATACGAAAGCTAGTTCAGAGACCTTGGGAGATGCCGGTTGTGTGTGTTTCTCTTCTTTCGCTGCAGGATTTCTCAGTGCCTTTATTATGCCAAGGTGCACTGGGGAGCTCCAAGAGAGGGTGGTAAAATGTGAAGTAGCTCCCATACTTACTTGTTTCTATAGCCCCTTCCCCATGGAGTATGTTGCAAGACTAATGTCCCATCCAGTGCACTGTGGGAAATGCTGTATATTTAGTTTATCTAGCAGGAGTCCTCAAACTTTTTAAACAGGGGGCCAGTTCACTGTCCCTCAGACCGTTGGAGGGCCGGACTATAGTTTAAAAAAAAAACTATGAACAAATTCCTATGCACACTGCACATATCTTATTTTGAAGTAAAAAAACAAAATAGGAACAAATACAATATTTGTATTTGCAGGTGGCCCGCGGGCCGTAGTTTGAGGACCCCTGACAGTGTCAGGATATCCCATTTGGTTAAGTATCCCTTACCACTGTGTCTCCTGGGAGAACATCTCACCATATGTGGTGCATTAACATCTGGGAGGTGGGAGAAGCTGGCATAATCCTGAAAAAGAAATGTGTGACTACCCTTTGGACTTGAATCAGAGTCCCTCGATTTGTAAAGGGTGTGGGGCCAGTTATCTCTAACATTTTCATTACTGACATTTAACCACAGAGTACATTGCCAAGGCACAATATCCAGACACTAAGCACCACCCACACCTCCTTAGCGGCCTCGTGCTATGTGCTGCTCTGTGTGGGAAATAGAATAAATCAGAGACTAGACTGCTTACACGGTATGCATGCGTGCTCTGTTCCATTCCTTCATCTGTGTACCACGGGCCATGTACACATGCCTGACATGCAATTAAGTTATTTTGCCTCATTGATTTTTGTCTCTATGGAACCATGCATCAAAAACGATTTAAGTCCAACTCTACCTCATGCAAATGCGTACCTGTCATTAATGCAGATGCATCCAAGTACCCCCAATGAGCAGCTTTGATAAACTTTGGTCCACGCGGAACACTCTTAATGAGGTTTAAGGAGATGCCACTTCAGTTGTCAGAAAACTTGTTTTCAAATCCTGTGCAGTTCTCTGAATCTTAATTTGGTCCTGAATGGAACGCTTAGACAGAAACCGTGCGATCTTAGCATGTGTGCACAGAAGGTCCCTCTCGGATTTGAATAGTTGTGAGGTGATCGGTTTCTCTCTCTGACTACCAGTCGCAGTTGTTAGTTAATGATAAGCACTATTCTTTGTGTGTGTGTGTGTGGTGTGTAATTAAAGACTTAATTCTCACTTTAATGTGTATTTAGTTCAGAAGGTTTCCCTCCATTCAGCGTTGGGAAGCTAGATGCCTATGGAATAGTCCGTATGCATTGATTCTAGGTGCACCCCACCAAGGACATAGCATACCATTCAGATTGTCTTGATGCTAAATCTCTTCTTGGACCATTTAACTGGCTATCTCTTAGTCATTTTACCTGGTTCCCGTTAAATAATTTTGACCTCGATTTTTGAAAACAATTTGCCCGGCTGGCATGGCTCAGTGGTTGAACGTTGACCCATGAACCAGGAGGTCATGGTTCTATTCCTGGTCAAGACACATGCCCCAGTTGTGGACTCCATACTCAGTGGGGGGGGTGCAGTAGGCAGCCAATCAATGACTCTTTGTCATCATTGATGTTTCTCTCTCTCTCCCTCTCTCTTCCTCTCTGAAATCAATAAAAATATATTTTAAAAATCATTAAAATATTTAACATTCTTTCATTTCCTTACTAAACCATATTTGAGAACCTGTTTGATCCATGTCCTGTCTATGCCATTTCCGTGTTTCTTTTATCATGTAGTCAAGTCTTCCATCTATTTCTCTACAAATGTTTTAAAGTAATCTCTTTTGCTACAGAAAATAGATTTCAGAGATGAAAAGAATGAACTCATCTCTTGTAAATTCTAGGTTTACTCCCCCAGAGAGCTTATTCTTAGAACCACACTGAGTCAGCAGTATTTCTCTTTATATATGCTTGTATTAGAAAAATGCCATGTGCTTATTTTATTGAATTATTAAAGAATTTGGTGAAATAATGTTGGTGGAAAATGTTAAACAAACGGTATCTATTATTTTTAATCAGTTCCATATAATTTCCCTCTTAGATTGTTTTACATGTAAACATGCATAGCACTACATTCTGGAATGAAGGGAGAGTGTTGAAGTACATGGGATTATGCTGCCCTCTAGTGGTAACAAGAAAACATTTATCTACAGGAAGAAAGGAGGGAGAGGAGTTGAAATATAGTCAGAAATTTTGAGTAGACATAAGGACTCATCTCATGTGCTGGCTCTTAATCAAATATTTACTATGTACTTTGATAATTTGTGACTTTTTCATAACTGTTTTCATTTTGAAATAGTTGAAATAGACTGTTATTTTAGGCAATTTCTCAGTTATTGCTGTATCCTGCAAAAAATATAACCTCAATCCCGGATCTTGAGATTGGCCCCAACACTGAGGCAGGAGCGGGGGTCACATGCCCCTGTGCCAGAATTGATTGTGGGCACTTCTATACAGATGACCCAAGTTAGTGAAATAATGTTTACCCCTCCCCATCCATATTCTGGGAGAGAAGAGCCTGGGAGGAGATAGAATTTAGTGTGTGTGTGTGTGTGTGTGTGTGTGTGTACACGTGCACGCGCGCATGTGTGTGTGTCATCATGGATATTTAAGCATTCCTTTACTTTTGTGTCTTGCCAGTTAGCCCAGAGCCCATCTATTCTCTGATTATTCTGCTGACTCTCATCAGAAAGGGACAATTTACTTACATGTGGTTATTTGATTATTACTTTTGCATATAGATGCTATTTTTGTGCACTTGGTAAATGTGATTTTCTAAGAAACTTCCTACAAGTAATACCAGCAAGTAGATATACAATGGTAAAAACTATTTTAAGGTATTATTAATTGAAATCTACTTCTGTTTAAATTCCCAAATATCTCCTTTACAACATTCATTGTTGTTTACTAATATGCTGATAATATTACGGCGGTAAAGAGTGGTCTCACCCTCGGCAGCAAGGTTCTGCCCATAGTGCGTGCCTTTCATGGTACTGCCTCCACATAAACACAAACAAACTGGAGTTTGACTACAAATGTGGTTATTTGAATGAACCTTCTTGCTTACAAGAAAATGGCTGGACACATGCCTGCCTTCTTAGAAAACCACAAAAAACTGGACTCGCCAGTCTCTCCTGGATTTTAGAATTTAGCCCAAGTGATCCACAAAAGAATCTGCTGGATTGGACAAAGCAATTTTTTTTCTTTTTCTCTTCAATAGCAATCTCAGCTAGGAACATGACATCTTTTTTTAAAAAAAATATTTTTTATTGATTTTAGAGAGGAAGGGAGAGGGGGAGAGAGATAGAAACATCAATGATGGGAGAGAAATATAGAAACATCAATGATGAGAGAGAGTCATCGATTGGCTGCCTCCTGCACACCCCACACTGGAGATAGAACCTGCAACCAGGGAATGTGCCATGACCAGGAATCAAACCACTCAACGCTCAACCACTGAGCCACGCCGGCTGGGATATGAACATGACATCTTGAAGTCAAAATCACTAAGTGCTTCCTTACCTCCAATAAGAGTGAAATATTCTTCAACTATTCTAGGATACACTACTGTTACTTTTTTAAAATATGCCCTAGCCGGTTTGCTCAGTAGTTAGAGCATCGACCCATAGACTGATGGGTCCCTGTTTCACTACCCAGTCAAGGGCACATACCTCAGTTGCAGGTTCGATCCCTGGCCCCTTTCCAGGCGAGTGTAGGAGGCAACAAGTGAATGTGTTTCTCTCACATCCATGCACCTACCTTTCTTTCTTTCTTTCTTTCTTTCTTTCTTTCTTTCTTTCTTTCTTTCTTTCTTTCTTTCTTTCTTTGTTTCTTTCTTTCTTTCTTTCTTTCTTTCTTTGTTTCTTTCTTTCTTTCTTTCTTTCTTTCTTTCTTCCTTCCTTCCTTCCTTCCTTCCTTCCTTCCTTCCTTCCTTCCTTTCTCTCTCTCTCTCTCTCTCTCTCTCTCTCTCTCTCTCTCTCTCTCTCTCTCTTTTTTCCTTCCTTCCTTCCTTCCTTCCTTCCTTCCTTCCTTCCTTCCTTCCTTCCTTCCTTTCTTCCTTCCTCTCTCTCTCTCTCTCTCGCTCGCTCTCTCTGTCTCTCTCTCTT